TGTATCATCTGCAAATTTAATGATAATATTGCTGAAGTGAGTGGGGGTACAGTCATATGTAAATTAAAATTTTGGAAGATTGGTTATTTACCTTAATATTGCCAGAAAAAAATGCATTGATTCTTATGGGCTTTCTTGAATATTTGGATATTTGGCACTGCTAATTGTTCTAAGTATTGGCTCTTTCGCAATAACTGGAATCTCCAGATATTTGTTTTGTTCTTTATATGATTGGTTCTCCAAACAACCTCTAATAATATGTAGATATGTTAACAGCTGTTACTGTTTTGCAGATTGCAATCTATGGTAAAAACTTCTGCACCTCAGCAAGGGATGCGTTCTTTCTGCTCATGAGAAATGTGGTGAGGTAAGGAGGCATAATGCCATAATATTCATATACCTGCCATCGCTAAAAATGTGCTTGATTAATGTTTTAAATATTCATATTATTCTCAGTTGTCTAAGGCTGCTTCCCTAACCTGATACCCTCTAGATATTTTGAGCCACAATCCCCTGAATTCATAGCTGAAGGCTATGCTGTCCAGAAATTCTTGGAGTTGCACTCACAATGCTTCTAGGGAATGCCAGCTTAGGAACAATCATTTAAAGGGTAGATCACATTTTTAATTGTTTTGCACATTTGTTGATAGAGAAATTTTAAAGTTTAAAGTTTAAATATTTCAAACAAGTTTGTTCTAGATCCACAAAGGATATAATTAACACCTCAAACATATATTTGTTTCGGTAATTTAAAAAATGTTACATATAAAAGCATTAAACCAAAATGTTTTCAGTTTGCACCTTCTTGGGTTGTTCTGCTATGAATAGAAGGTTGCCACAGTGTGGAGACCAAGAAGAAGAAGGGCGAGAGATAGAAGAGGCAAGAAAACGTATTCCCATGTCAGGAATTTTGTACTAAGAATTTACAGAGTAAAGAATGCAACACATAAACAGGTCCTACCGGTACAGCTCTCCATTTAATCTGGGACATGGCTTAATGGTGTAGAGAGCTGTATTCAAGTTCTAGCAGGCCTAAATACAGCTCTTCTCTACTTCTAGCCTTATGCATGGAAGTCCAAGAGAATGTAGAGCAAGGCTGTGTGCTCACTCCTGTCCTCTATCTAGTGTAATCCTGTCACATGTTCATCAGAAGAAATACCTAAGATAGTTTAGTTCCACCCTCCCCTCATGGAAAAGCTGTTGCTGGCTGGGATGGTAATAGGCAGAAAGTTGGATCCAAGCAAGGGAGTTATCTGGCCTTTTCCTCAGATGCAGCCTGGTGAAAATGTATCAGCACCTTCTTCCAAGGATTTCACAGAATTTGGGGAGGCTAGGCTCTCTCCCAATCCTTTCACTAAGCATCAACAGTATGCATGTATTTTAACCTTGATGTTTCACATCAAAGCCAACTTACCTTGAACTACTGCTACCGACCATGATTAATTTGTTATGTTTCCATGACAATGAATTTGCTTCTTTAAATTATGAAGTTATTAATGCTAAAACTTATCTTAAATTGCTAACAAGCATATTAAAAATGTGCTTTCCCAATCTGCAACACAAACTGTTTCTCAATAAAACTATCAATGTTTTCATCATTAGAATGCTTGTGTAGTATGTTAATTTTGACATACAGAGGTATACAGTATTTTTGGATAGCCAATCAGCAAATAAAGGAATATCTGCCTTTTTTCCAATAATCTAAAATACTAATCTTTGCTTCTCTGAGGAAATTATCAGTTTTAAATCTTTATCTAAAATTAGATCCCTTATGTTCGTAGAAACAGTCTGTTACATAGTTATCAAAGTAATCTTAGTATAACACCTAGAAACAGACCCGTACTACCTTTTGGACCCAAAACAACATCATATTAATTTTCTTCTCTGTTGCACAGGGTTGCAGTCCTGGATAAAGTAACAGACTTCTTATTATTCCTCGGTAAAATCCTTGTTGCTGGAGGTGTGGGTGAGTCAATCATTTAACTCTCATTCATTTGTTTCAGTTTTGTTAAGGCCACTGGATCACATTGAGAAGATGGTTGACGTGAGACCTCTCTAGTTTGCAGCCCTTTTATGACTGGAGTTCATGTAAATAAGTACAGTAAAGTCTCATGATCTCAGTGTCTCATAGGACATTCATTATTAGGTCATTTTAATGGGATAAATCTAAACAGAAGACAAGCAAATTAATTCATCAAGAATAGGGGTAAAGGAATTATGATGACTTTGAAAAACTTTGACTCCTATTTTCTATCTGGTGATTTTTGCTCAGGAAGATAGATTTACTGAGATAATCTTTAATCCTATGAATTGCTGTCATAAGAGAATCCATTAGATTTGCATGGGTATTTTAATTGTTTTGCTTATGAAATTACTGCAGCTTTCCTTTGTTTTACAGACTTGCAAAGGTCATAAATACGAGAATTGGCTGTAAAGTTACTTTTTCATCATTGTTGTAACTGGGAATGGTTATCAAATGAGGCAGTCACTAAACAAGGATTTCCTATAAAATATTACTAACCCAATAATCATAGCTCCAGGCCCAGTGTACCTGCTATAGCGGCAATAATTACACCTAAAAGGAATCATGGAAAAGTTCCTTTTAAATGTCTTAACGCCAAAGTAGATGCCAACTATAAAACTTTTACATTAATTAAAAGCAGTTAACATGTATTTAATAATTTTCCTCTTCTGTCATATGAAAAATTACAATATATTGGCAATGTTTAGGGGGACTTTGGGAACTCTGTCAAAGGCTTTCAGCATATAAGTCTGAAGTCTCAGATCATGTCTTTTTGCCTTTTCTAATAAGTAGGGATTAGTGTGAGGGGATTAGAATCCCTTCTAATAAAAAGG